TGGGATTGTTTCGTGTTTGGTCTGCTGTTCTTACTTATACTCACTTGTCTGACAAGTAACATCAGCCCAAGCCCAAGAAATTCTTCGTGGCAAGGAGCGTAAGATTACGCCTGTCGTTGGCCGCATATTTAGAGTGCCGCCATGCCGCACCGACACTATACCACCATCTCACAATTCCAACGACATTGTTGCGTCTACTGCTTAGCCAATCAGAATGCGCCTAGAAGCTGACTGCTGGGTATCCCAAATTTATCCTGCGTTTACTCCATTTTACACTCGGCAATGTCCGCTAGGCACCTTCTGATCATAACCTGTATTTTTATGTACATTTTAAGTGGTTATTTGCCATATTCTGAACTTTTGGGCATTAGGTGCACTTAACTCAAGTTTTATGCATCGGTTTCTACCTGAAAATGCGATGACGTCATGCTCTATTCATTATTACCTGTATATTACTGTTGTAAATATTTGTTTCTGTATTTTACATCCTTGTTATTAATTTGATAGACGAACTTCGTCTTACATGGCCTGTAAAGATCTGCGCCCTCCCCCCTTCTTTCCCTCACTGCTGCTCTTCGGCGATCCACGCTCACGAACACATCACTGTCAACTGCCCTTCGGGTCTGATTTCATAGAGCCAGAACATGTCGCACCAACTGTTCGATATCTCCGGCATAAAGTGGAACATCGAACCGACACTATACATTTACAAACATCCATGCCTTCTGCGGGATTCGAATCATGGCCCTTCGGTTCGACAGTCAGCAACGCTAACCACTCTACTCTTTGGTTGGGCGGCGGGCTTTGCTCTAATTAGCAGAGTGAAATGCTTCAGAATATCATGTTTCAGTGTCTCAGTGTAACTGTTCAGGCAGTGTCTTGTTAAGGTATATCGTTCTATCACAAACTATTCCAGTTCCTAGATAGAAAGCGAGGGAAGAAAACAGAGAGTCATACTTTTTGAGCCCAAACCACTAATGGTTCAAATATATTTACTAAATCTAGCGACTGTACAGATTAGGGAAGGTGTGCGACTTCATCTTTGTCTTCCAAACCAAGGTTGAAAAATTTGACTTTGGTTAACGGGAGGCATTATCAATTTGAAAGATGCCCTTAACCGTAAGAAGCAGCATCTGCTTCATTCATTGAACCTGCTTGATTAAAATGGTCAGGGATACAGTCAATTTTTAGAGATTATTATTAAACCCGAAAGAAACCAAACTTCATTCTAATCATAGCGTATCCATTATTTTGAACAATCTTCCTATAACTCAAATATACTCTGCATACACACACCAAAAAGGGGGGGCATAGTTTTACGTCTCTCATTCTACTGGGTCGATTGACGAAATTTAATTTGCCTTTTTCGTGTCCCCAAATCGCGACTTAGGATATATTACATATGAGATTTATATATAACATTGTTTTAACATGTTATTTTGACACAAAATCAGACGTTTTCTGAAATGACCGATTGCTTTTCATATTTCGCTTCTACGACTCAAATTATGACCAAATATTAAATTTAGTAAAGTCTAGTGAGAGACGTACCGAGAAATTAAAAAAATTTATCTTGGCGCACTTTTTCCACTTGCTCCACGAATACTTGCAGAAATTCTAATTTATTGTAAATTATTTTTCTTTTTTCATTTTGCACGAACGGGAAAAATATGAATCGTTTGTTCTTTCAAATAATTTTAACAATGTGCTAAAAGTTTGCGAGCTGAGCTAATTTTTTAAAAACTACAAGTGCGAGCTTTACAAAACTTGGCACTTCCGCATAATTTGAGTCGTAGAATCGAAATATGGAAAAAAAAGCATATTATTTCAGAAAAAATTCGATTTTTGTTAGAATACCTAAGTTAGAACAGTGCTAAATATAAATTTAATATACATCCAAAGTTGCGCTTTCCAGGTATGAAAAACCCCAGTAGAATGGGAGATACAAAATTGTCCCCAGCCCTTCTTTTTTTGGTGTCTGTGTGCAGAGTTTATATATGCCTTGTAATTATACGCGACCAATTTCCCAGATTGCGAGGCGTAGTCCTGCGCTTCGGTTCAATGTCCTGCTTCAGCATGTGTACCGGAAAATTCTTTCCGTTCTATCAATACTGCCAATTTTGTAAATAAACGAATTTCGTTAAGCGGCTTCATGACCATATGCTCATTAAGATTTCTTGTGGGAATCAGTAATATATTCAGTCATTAACCTGTTTTCTAGATATGCGGTATTGGAGCGCTTTCGAGTTTGATTGTGAAAGTACAGCAGAACTCCAATTATCCGAATCAATTGGGATCTGATCCCACTCGAATCTAAAATACTTCTAATTGGATTTTTTTTTTTCGGAAGTAAGGGTCTACGCTCACTTTAATTAATTACAGTATGTACTGTTTGTTGAAAATGGAAGATAAAATATATTTTTAAAGAAAAAGAGGTTTTAATTAATTAAAATGAAAAGGCAACACTTTTACGTACATGTTATATAGCGTACTGTACAAGTACTGAAAGTCATTGCTTGCTGAACATCTCGGTCAAAGTTAGCTGTCTGACCGTCTTCATCCGTTTTCGGGCAGCCAAGTCGCGTATACGCTTGACAATGAGAAGTTGCATGTAGTCACACTCGGGCTGACATTCCATCCACTTCAATGCAATTTCAAGGCCGGCAAACGGTTCACTAGCCGATGATCCCGTGTCTGCTTCAATTTCGACATTTTCTGAATATCCAGGAATTTTCAAAAGAATATTTCTTAATTCCTCAAGTGACAGGTCATCCTCGTCTTCTCCTTTCTCTTCCTTTTCATTTTCTTGAGCTTCTTTTTCCGAAAATTCTGAAAGCGATTTGGATAGTCAGAGTTCGAATAATTGGAATTGCACTGCATTTCTGGATTTCTAACGCATTTACTTGGGGAATGCAAAGTAAAATTTATTCATATGAAAAACCTTAAATGGATCCTCCTTTGAAAATATTTTAGCATATAAACACGTAGAAGAAGGGTCAACTTCCGGAAGATAATATTTAGAGGAAATATTTTGAATATCTCTGGTCATAAATTAAAGGTGAAATATTATCTTTACATAGATATGAAATACGAAATAAATTAAAGTCTTCCGAGCATAAGTCTCTAATATCGTGTACATAATATTTATAATCTTTGAAATACAGCCAGATTTTTCTAATAATCAGAATAATAAGGTTTCTTTCAAATCCATAATATTGATGTTCGTGACTATAATAGTACGCAAAACAGCACATAACTGGATAACAAATAAGAGGGAAACTCCTCACGACGATCACCTCAAATATGGCAATATTTCTGACAGTAGAAACACTGAATTGAATGACTGCAATAGTCATTCTTTTAAGGCAATCACCTTGGCAGAAGCCAGATCTTTTCAAATAGCGGCATCTGTTTTGTGGATTCTATCTATGTGGAGCAACAGGAAAACTCAACTAAGAGTATTAATTATTTGATTAGTAGCCACTTGTGCTCCCAGTCGCCTAAAATAGTTATCATAAAAACAAAAATAAAAGTATAATAATTTTAATGAATTAACCTAATATAATTTCACAGCTCCAGCTGGAATCAATAATAATTCAAATAAATTTTCGTTTATTGCTTTAAAATCGCTTAGTTTGTGAATTAATTACAGAATAATTCTAAAGAAAAAATAATTTACGCTTTGCTGAACGACAACACACTGCCGCGTGAAGATAAATGCATTTTAATTCAGACACAGGCAACAAATTTCTTTAAAATCGCTGCAGTTGTTGATTAAATTCGAAAGACATATACACCACATTTTACCAAGTAGCAATAGTTTTCTTTTATATCTCTGAGTTTTTCGATTAAATTTAAAACAAAAATATCTTACGCTTTGGCGAGTGCCAACACAAAGCTTTAAAATCAGAGTTTTAATAGTTAATTTAACTATTAATTAATTTAATTTACATTTAACTAAATTTGCGCAAAAACAATTATATAACAGCTAGCAAAATTTTCTCTCATTCGCAGTTTATGTCATAATATTCTTCTCTATCTGTTTTGAGCAATTTAAGTATTACCAACTGAGTATATTGACAGGAGAGAATTAATATAAAGAAATGCAAAATCTAAAAAATATTTTTCTGTCTATATTACTATGAAATTTACATATTTGATAAAAAAACAGAAATTAGAAGACACATTGTCCTAAATATTAAGTAATTTTAGCCTTCTAATAAAACTTTGCATTTTAAATGTAGTTAGAAATGTGGCAAGCTGGAAATCTATTCATTAACAAATTTATACATATGATACATAACATTTTTTGACAAAATTATTAAGTGAATTATTAAACAAGTGAAAATAATTAAGAATATTTACTTAGCTAGATCAATAACAAACGTTAATTTTGCTTAAAATTCAATCAATAAAATACTTTAAACATTGCAATTAACTAGCATAATGTAAGAATGACTAAGTAAAATTCCCTATGGGTGCATTACAAAGAAGACCAATAAACAGTTCTTAAAACACTTTATTAATAATTTTGCGCAAAAAATAATTCCATACAATAAAATATTTTTATACAGCAACTGGTTCATCATTCAAGTAAAAAAATTATCAATTTTCAAAATTTTACTTATGAAAATAGAGTACTTGTTACAGTTATTTAAAATATATAAATAATTTCTAGTATGTAAGAAAATATGGATATAAAAGTTTTAAATATTTAACATTCAAACATTTCTCTGATATTTCTTATTTCAACCGAATTTACAACTGCTTTTAATAAAACATTAATTTTTGTTCACTTTATCAGCACGCATTTCAATTTTTAATAAAACAATAAAATCCTCTTTAAAACTACATGGCAGCAATCACAAGCCATGTCTTATCAGCCGATATTTGTCTCTATAGTTAAAAATTTCAATTGACGCCGTAACATTAATCTAAAATTTGCACATAAAACATTCAACACTACAAAGTCTAAAAGTTTACAGTAATTAACTTCTGAATCTTTTCATAATCTTCATTTAATAAACATTTCATGTAATAAAAACACAAGCAATACAGTACAGACTAGACTATGGGCATAAGCAAAGTGTTAAGCAATCTAAGAATGAAAAGATTCCGAGAATAATTTAACACAGAATAGTCTAGAACACTTTTAAAGTTCTTCAAGTACATAATAGACAGCACTGGAGAAATTTCTAACTACTTAAAATTTTATAGCATACATTTTAGTTTCTTGATGCCCTTTCACTGCAGGTTTTCTGTATTTCTACATATCTGTGCCATGCTCATCTGAAATAAAAAATTGAATAAAATATTTAAAAAAAAATTAAAATCTGAAACGTTTCAGATTTTAAATTACGTCCAAATGGGGCTTTTTTTTAACATTTTTGTGTGTTACCTTTACTTATTAAATATCACGTTCTTCGCACTTAAACCATAAAATTCAGTTCAATAGCAACGTCGCAAAATAATTTTAAATTAAGCATATCTTTAGAATTTCCGATACACAGTCTCACGCGGCCCTAGAGATAAAAATGTTTTTTCTATACAACGCTGCCATTGCTCGCTTTGAAAAATTTGAGTCTGTTAACCAAAAATTCGTTAATGTTTTGCAAAATATGAAATCTACAATAAAACCCATTCCAAATTTGGGCTTCCACATGCGCATATTCGCAGTAGGATTACGACATTCAAAATTGGATGGTTCTAGGTACCGTTGTTTTATAACAAAGCAAAAAACATACATATATTTATGCAAATTCTTCATTATTTAATTTCTTCAAATAGAATACAGGGCGATAATATTGGGTGGTAACAGTTTGAAAACTGAAACGGACATTCAGAGTGATTCGAGGCAAAATCGCAAAACGAAAACAATAGTCCCTCAGGGGCAAAGCCCCTTTAGACTAAAAAATTCGTTTAGGGAATAAAATTTTGGAATCGTTATGAAACATGTATTTTTTTATACAAATGCCAGACATTTATTTGGCCACGAAGCCATCAGTCTTGATATTGCTTCCCAATACTTAAGAACAATAGACTTATAAGATAATAGTGCAGTGCATTCGTCAGTAAGCTTCTTATCCATGGACTGTTCAGAGTTAAAAAGAGTACAAGTCTGAAGAGTCCTTCAATCGAATTTTAAAATGATGGGCATTCAGACAATCATGCCCAGTCGAAAGATGAAATAATGCCATGGCTACAAGACGAGGAAAATCTGGAATAACTAACTGGTTTTGAACTGGTGTTACACTCCCAGGCCTTTCCCTTAGCTTCATTTGATAGTCAGGAGGCAAATATCTTCTTAAATTCTAATTTAATTAGAAGTTTTACAGAATTTAAAGTCATATGGGTATTAATGGTTTGTAGAATATTCGTTACTTTCTTTGGCAGAAAATCGGCTCTTTCATTTCATGCCACTATGAGCCACAATTGGCTCGATGCAATTGCACATTGTGCTCGATGCCACAATGAGCAGGAATCCACTGCAAGACAATTGAGCCAGCTAGAGTGTTGAGAATCTTCCTACATTCGTGAATTCGCTAAGAAGTGCACAATTTATTGTGGGAGATAAGCCTGCAAAGCGGCTCTGCTATCAGACAAAATAACAGCCCTAGGGAAACCCTTCTGAGCGCTTATTTGATTCAGAGATGGCTATAAAACATTGCCTATTTTAGACATTGCTTATTTTATTCTGCTGGATAATATTTATTATAAAAATACGACAATGATTTTATCTTCCTTCTTAACCTGTTTTAAGTAAATTAAGAAATGCTTAATGAACATTTTAAAAGGAGTAATTGCCCTCATTCAAGTCCTAAAACGAATGCGGTTTTACTCCATATGTAATGATTAATCACCAAATGTATAACTTTTGTTATCCACCTATTCCTTGAATTTGTTCTCTGGTCTTGAATTATGTAGGTAATTAGCATAGAAAATCAATAAAAAATTAATAGTATTAAAATCTGTGTGCGCCTTTCTGTTTGTAACATTATCTCCCCCGGAACGGCGAGGAGTTGTGTTTCCAGAGAGGTACACCCATTCCAAAAATTCATGGGAAGCCATTTCGACCATTCTCATCTTCATACGACTTTAATCAACTGAAATATTAATTAAAAACTCTGAAAACGTTAATTTTCGCCCCCTGCATTGAAGCCCTTAGGAGGTGGAATTCCTTTAATCATTTCAAAGCAGAGGTACAGTAAAATGTTTTATGGAACAGAACTTATAAATTTTTTTTTTGGCATAGCCTTGTCATCTGGTGGGGTTCCCAGTAGTTATTATTAAATATTTCCCAGCGATCACACGTATACTGCAGCTTATTCCTGTTTTTACTTCATTAACATAATGTATATTTCATTAACCGAAATCTTTATATCATACGAATTATATGAAAAAATTACATTCTAAATTTTTTGCCACTGTGGTCCGTGGTTAGCGGAATCGGCTGCTATATCGCTAATTAGGTCTAGGTTAATTAGTCCTCAAAATGTATAGCCTCTGCATATAACAGAACATCAAGCAAAAGGTTCTGTCAAGAGATTGTGGTAAAGAGGGATACGAGACTTTTGGATACTTTGCCTGGCTGTTCTTGACCAGAAAGTGGGATGGATCCTGTCAAAAATTTTATTGTTCTCTGTAAAGTCCTTAAGCCACGGAACTCCACTTTTCCTCTTGGCCATGATAATTCGTGAACATGATCTGATTCAGATCAGAAGGATAGACAATAACATCATACACAAAACTCTCAACCATAATACAGAAACTCTTTTTACAGCTTTCTTTACTTTATATCGGGAAATTTTGTAATCAGAGGCATATGACTAGAATCAATGTTTAAGAAAATGAAGCTCTTGTAATTGACTTTTTCGAATACCCTGTATTTAATGTAAAGCATTCGTTGTTGTCAAGTGCTGTTGGCTGGCATTCAGCACTTGTTGGTTAGATTCTTACTGCCATTAAATCATTGTTTATTGCCTTGCTAGTGCATTCAAAGATTATTAATTTTTCTTGCTATAAGCATTCAAATATTCTCACTTTATTAGCATTCGAAGATCGTCGATTTCTTGTTAATGGCATTGAACGACTATTCATTTTTTATTTAAGAAACTAACCTTTAGTAAATTATAGCAAATCAATTAACACCTCTGCTTCAATGTGAATTTAATACATTTATAACATAAAGTAACAAATTAGATAACAATTAATTAGTATTTTCAAACTATATTTTAGAGAAATACTTTTCTTATATTAAATAATAATGCCAGCTGTAGCATTTTTGAACATGAAGTGGTGTCTTACCTTCAAGGCTGTCTTGTTCACCAGTCATGGCCTGCAGAATTCGAAAAGACTGTGAAGGGATACGTGCACCCCTATACATCTTAGGGGCTTCTTCAGTTGTTTGCTGGGAAGCTGGTACGGATGGCTGCGGGAACTGTTTAGGTGTCGGAGGCTGATTGATGTCTAAATGCAGATGGGGTGGGGGCTTACGTTGCTGCCTCTTTTCCTGAAGTACAGATGGAACCACTGTTCCGGTGGGAGCTAAAAAATAAACAAGATTTGTTACAACTACAAGGATCAGTTTGGTAAAGTAACGAATTTTTAAGAGAATTTTAGCAAAACCTCAGTGGAAAAATTACTCCAATAATGATATACAGATAATATTTCTGAACCTGAACTTTAATTTTAACCTTGACAGAACTTCACTTTCTGGAGTTTTGATTATCTAACATCTGAGAACTCAAAGTTTTATCATCAATAACCTCACATCTAAGTCCTAAGCTAAGCTCATTATTTTTCTAACTTTGCAAGATGAAACCACATCGTATGTTCATTACTTCTGTATATATCACCTGCTGAACATATATAATTTTTTGGTTAGAATTAAATAAGTTTTATGTATTACTTGGTATAATTTGATAACGTGTTCTATTTTTCTGATGGCGTGGAAATTTTCAAAACTTCTGTCCCATACAGATAAATGCATCTTTGCTTAATGTTATACTAGTTCGATAAAAATTCTTACAAATACAAATACTATGCTTTCGCAAAGAAGGGAAAACCATTTGAACTGAACATCCCAGAGTGATGGAGGCATGAAATCTAAGAATTCTATAAAATTTCAGTGTACTTTCAGTTATCGCAATAATAACACAAATGCATACACTTTAATAAATATTTAAGACTAACAGTGAAACAGGTTGTCTTGTTTTATGTTCTACTACTGCTTATGAAAACGCATCCTTTAAAAACAAGATGTGGGTTTTCTCTTTCCCCTTTGACAACTAGTTTGCCTATTTTCATTACCCATTCAAAATAAATCTAGACTTTCAGAGAATTGGAAATATAATTCTTTGGTTATGCAGAAACAGAACTTAACCATTTATACAACGACGCACATGTACAAAATCCTAATTCTGTTATTTGAGTACTAATACTAATTGTGAAAAAACTATATCAAAAACTATATATATAATTGTGAGAAACTATATCATGTATTACACTGATCTGGATCTAAAAATTGAAATTAATTTCAAATTTTAGATCCAGATCAGTGTAATACATGATATAGTTCCCCCCCCCAAATGCTCACTGACAAAAATGAAATTGATTAAAGGGATCTCAGTTTACACCTCGGCGAATGAAAACCCTTTCCTATACATCTTGCGCTAAGTGCTACATTTTAAATTTCGTGTAGCATCTGTTTACAGAAGCAAACTGGTCACGATTATAATAGCAAGAAAGTCGTATTCTATTTAACTTAATATTTTCTTTAATTTTTAAAGTTCGCATAGCGTATACTCCCCCTTTTATCCGATCTCGCTTTAACCAGTCTTATTTCAATTGGATTTTTTTTCTACGACATAAAACTTTCCAAAACGTTGCCATTTGTTCAGAAAAATATAATGAATTCTTTTCAATAAAAACTTACGTTTTCCAAAAAAACAAAGTTAAATAAGAATATTGTTAATTATAGTTCTGAAATTTCTCAATTTACGTTTGCAGATTATTTGTTATCTATGTTTCTCTGTGTACATGTATTAGCTTTATTAAATCTTGTTATATTTTATAATTTACGTTAATTTGTATAATTTATAACACCAATTTTTTAATTAAATAAATGTTTAATAAATATTTACATTTACCATACATGTGCATGTTTTATGTGATGTACAATGTATAAATGCTATTTTTTAAGCTACGTTGGTTAACAAACTTTGTTTATCTAGGTTACATGCTGCCTCATAAAGCTGCCTTGGTTGGGACGTCTACCGTGTTTTTAAATCTGTGGTTCTTGAATCAACAGCAATAAGCTAACAGGCTACAATGGAAAGAAATTCATACATACAATATGGCTGCTATTTTTTTTTAAAGTTGTATAGTTATTTTTAGCCATTCAGGGATCGAAATAATTCAGAGATTCAAAATAATTATAATGTAGAAAATAATTCAAACCCAAAATTACAATAAAATTTTTGTTCGCCTTACATTTGTTTAAAGAATACAAATATGCTTATGTGCGACTGGAGTGAGGTAAAAAAGTATTCACTCCATGATCAATCACTGAAGTATTTAACACCAGGAAAAGCCAGAAAAATTTCTACAACTAACAAAGACAAGAGAAAATAAGCATACTTTTTACTGCACAAACATTTAAAAAAAAAAAAAAAAAAAAGTGTTCCAAATTCTCGTCATTTATGTAGAACTGCTGTTAGCCACGTGTTTGGTTTCGTTTACTTCATTATGGCAAAGCACTCGATGGCTATCTGCCTAAGGGAAAGGATGCCTTCATGACGGGCTTTCTAAGGGAAACTGCCTCGTATACAGGTTACGCATGGGGAAATCCAGGAAAACCCCAGCAACCAGCCAGTTCGCCAGAATTTGAACCCCAGACCGAACTATCAGTGTTCTGCACTTTACTTTACTGCACGGCTGCTGGTGGGCCTTCGCGTTTCAGTAATCACGCATCAGTTAACTGATTACGGCTATCTACGTGTTGAAAGGAATGCCTTCGTGGAAGACGTTTTTAGGGAAATTGGCACGTATTTAAGTCAAAAAAGAACTTTGGAAAAAATTACCACATTTCCATGCAGCCGGCTGTTCGCCAGGACACAAACCCGCGTCGAACTACCATGTTCAGCGACTTTACTGCTCGGCCGCTGATGGGCCTGTATCAATATAGCATTCATCACATGACAGGAATAATGTGACGGAACTGTTTCCTTTTGTCTTAAAAACATCATTTAAGTCCTTATGTTCACGCATTCACTATAGTTGAACTTTAATCTGAAGTTCCGTATATCGTTTACTGGGATATTACTATAATGTCTATCCGGTTCCTGAGTGAAACTTGCATTTAAAGCATCCCTAGAAGGAAAATCACTTATGTTTGTGTCTGCGACGTTTGTGATTATCTGTGTCGCCCAGAGATTGGCATCTTTTGGTAACCATAAGGGTATTTAAATGGATCTTTCAGGTAACATGTATCGTTGACCTTGATGGACAGTGATACATGTTATTATAATAATATTACCCTGACGTCGAAAATGGCACACAGTATTTCTGTTTATGCAATATTAATGTAAATGATCCGCCGTTTTGTTATTCCATTTCATACTGGGATGTTTTTTCTGAAAGCGAATGGCATATAATGAGATTCAAAAACCTTACTTCCATCTTCATTCATGCCAGTCATCTCTTGTAACATCTTGAAGGATCTGCCGGGTATGTAACCTCCTTTATAACGGATATCCACTGGACCGTCTTCAGTCCGTTCTTCAAGGGGCTCATTGCTATACCTAGGATCTGCGAACAGAATATCAGCATTAAAATAAAAGGAATATACTGCCATTTAAACGAAATTAAAAATTAAAAGCAATAACTGCATCATGCACATCGCATTAACTAAAGGCTGCGAAAGAATATCAGCATTAAAATAAAAGCACATCGGAAACCTGCCATCGCATTTAAATAACTGCTTCAGGCAAAGTATCTGCGAACAGAATATCAGCATTAAAATAAAAGCAATATACTGCCATTTAAACGAAACACTGCACATCGCATTATTAACTAACTGCTTCAGGCAAAGTATCTGCGAACAGAATATCAGCATTAAAATAAAAGCAATATACTGCCATTTAAACGAAACACTGCACATCGCATTATTAACTAACTGCTTCAGGCAAAGTATCTGCGAACAGAATATCAGCATTAAATAAAGCAATACTGCCATTTAAAAACGAAACACTGACTCGCATTATTAACTAACTGCTTCAGGCAAAGTTGCGAACAGAATATCAGCATTAAAATAAAAGCAATATACTGCCATTTAAACGAAACACTGCACATCGCATTATTAACTAACTGCTTCAGGCAAAGTATCTGCGAACAGAATATCAGCATTAAAATAAAAGCAATATACTGCCATTTAAACGAAACACTGCACATCGCATTATTAACTAACTGCTTCAGGCAAAGTATCTGCGAACAGAATATCAGCATTAAAATAAAAGCAATATACTGCCATTTAAACGAAACACTGCACATCGCATTATTAACTAACTGCTTCAGGCAAGTATCTGCGAACAGAATCATTAAAATAAAAATATACTGCCATTTAAACGAAACACTGCACATCGCATTATAACTAATGCTTCAGGCAAAGTATCTGCGAACAGAATATCAGCATTAAAATAAAAGCAATATACTGCCATTTAAACGAAACACTGCACATCGCATTATTAACTAACTGCTTCAGGCAAATTTCGTTACAATTGGCATAAAAAGGCTCCCCTTCTTGTGAGGTAAGGTAAAGAAAAGGCAGACAATTGCAATAACTTCGTAATCCCATGCATGCACATTAACTTTGACGTCTTCAAGTGGCAAGAAAAGTAAAGCCAGTGAGAATAATGATATACTGTGATATTTAGATTTATAAGTTGTCATTTATATGCGACATGCGACGGAGGACGTGGGCACCATGCCTCTACCATTGAGGTTAATTGGTATAGCGCCACGTCCACCTATATCTAGAGTCTAGCCAGAGCGTGGGGTCACACAAACGCAGCGTCGGATTCATCCAGAAGACACTCACGGACCAAAGCGCCCTCCGGGAATTCACTCTCACCCAGCTGCCCGGGTCTAGTATTTATTGAAACAAAAAATAATGGTTTTATAAGAGCCAAACAAGGGCATTGAGATACATTTATAGCACTTATATATTATACAATTCTCATCATGGATGTATATGAAGCCAGAAGCAGTACTATTAACATTTCATCATTAATTACTATCGCGGGCATAATTACATATATGCACACACTTATCTTTACAAGAGAAATAAAGATATACTTATAGTCGTGTGAAGCCACGATCACAATTTTGCCATGAGACAACTTTACTCTAAACCTATCCCCCCAGGAGTAGACGCAGAGAACACTGTGAAGCTACCGGCTAGGATTTGTACCTAGGTAGTCTCGACCACGGGGGCATAAAATCACGAGCTTGGCGGTTTCAAAACCTCGGAGGAAGATCGTTTCATACTGATGGGTTCATGGACTGACGGGGGATTGGCGAAGACTACTGCTCTGTGAAGAGAGTAGTAAGAACTCTGTACTCCGCCAAGAGGTACAGGCCGGTAAAGGGCCATCCACCGGAGGGGTGATGGCTCTTTGGCGAGGACAGAGATAAGAACTCTGCACTCTGCTTGGTGTGGTTGGCCTACAGGAATAAGGATTCGAGTCCGCATAGAACTGGCGGGAGCATTTAAACGACCAGTCAGACCTCCAGGTGCATATGTTCTCCGCCACGGTGAAACCTGAGAACCGGGAGCGGTAAGTGACCCAGCAGGCACAGGAGGTAGCCGTGGTTGTAGTGATATTCAAAGTCTGCCACCTCGGATATTGGGGTCTCTAAGCAGAATGACACATTTTTCAAATTTAATTCATATCACTGCGCTATTCATCATGAAAACCCGGCAGCTATTTTCCGTCATTTATTATCATTCTAGACCTGGAATTTATTCTGGAATTATCCTTATAAGCAGGCTGAAAATATTCTGTTAATTAATTGTTAACCAAAAAATCTTTTTATGAAATTATACATAACGTAAGTGACTTCGTGAATGGAAAAATTTCATTTATTAACAAATCGGAGGCTGAATTAGAAATTAGTATTACTCTTCACACTGATATAACACTCAAAAGTAAAAACAATAAAAGTGATGGTGTTTTTAAACTAAAGGACCCTATTAAATATACAAATATATATAGGTGTGCACTAACAGTGAAAGCAGTTTTTAGATCAAATTTCAAGAATGGCTCTGTCTGAGCAGGCTTCTTCAGAACTTAAAATAATAAAAAGCAAGTACAGAAATATACTGACTCCAGAGCATGTAAAAAACAACACGGTGCTGCCATGCTGTGTTTTAGAATATATGCCACATTTTAATAAGTTGTCAAAGAATATTAATAATTAATTATCTCACTAACAGCAGCTGAATGACTTAATGCAGTACACTAACTTAATGAGATAATTGATGGTTTAATTTATTAGATGATTACACTTTCTTTTATTAGTATATGCTTTTCTTTATTTTCTAATTTGAGATGAAATTGGTTTGAACTACACTACATTTGCATTTTATTGGTGGATTTACTTCAGTTTTTTTTAGGTTCGTATTTTTTTTTCTCTTATTTAGAAACAACAAGCGGAAGTCCAACCTCTTGAGGCAATGGCAACCATTTTTCCATGAGAGATCATTTTATGGATCTAGATCATCAACTAGACATCCATTACGAAATACCATCAGATATGTGAGATTGATCCACACAGAGGAATCATAAAGATCATTACTAGATTGAGAACCCGCGCCATTTTAGAGGAATGAAAATTACTGAAGATGGTACCAGACACATAGAACTTGTAGAAACTGCCCCGAAACGGGGCTTTCTTCAGAATACATTTTTACCTATCCGGAAATACTTGCAGCTCTTCAAAGCTTGGGGGGAATGTCCTTTCCAGGAACAGCTGTATAATGAAAAGATTGTGGAATTGGCAAAAGCAGTGATTTTCATGCAAGGATCCATTTGACTTCTGAAAGGACACGACACCAACCAACATTAATTCTCATTTATTTAGTTTCCCTTGAAACTTCGACTAAATTTATAATTGACACGCCAAACAGCTCGACTGTATTAATTTAAAATAAAACTGAAACGAAAAGAACTTTTTTTAATGTCCAAGATTAGCTTAATTCAGTACCATAAAACCGTATATCAATATGATACGAAGCTGCGGAAAATGTAAATCTCAGTTTTAGAATGTCATCAAAGTGTTCATGTAGATCTCATTTTTTTTAATGGCACTGATTCGGATTCAATCGATCATAATGAAACCGACGACCGATCGTTCACCGGCTACTTCATAAGTTACTATGGCGCATATGACCTTTCAAATTATGAGTCAAAAAATCCCACTGCCACTACTCATAAGTTACTAAATCTTTTATGATGTATTATTTTCATTTGGAAGTACATTAGAAATGTTGTGTTCCTTCATCTAGGCATATAAGTCTGCATGACTTCAATAGCCGCATTGTTAGTGTTGTGAAGATAGCTAACTGTTGGAGAAAAGAAAACCTACAGCATTAGCGGCAAAATTCTGAACACTGTCTTGACATTGTTTGTGTAACTTAAGACCCAGAGAAGCTTTGTAAAGTTTTCCTTTCATTTCATGTATTATGTTAAAGTGCCAAGATCTTTTATGGATCACTTTGTTTTTGTACATTAAAAAATAAAACTGTCTGAATTTGGGTCAATCATATTGAACAGCTCCATTATATCTGACACATCAGAAAAAATGGCTCATAGTGTTATCTTTAACTTAGAACCACAGTATTCACTTCTTTGATAGTAACAGTTAATTTATGTTCCCTCTCTCTCAATTTCGCTATATGCATTTCATTTGTAAGCAAGTATAAATATAATTAAGTAAAGCCCAGACTAGACGTTCTATAATTAACTCTGCTGCTGCTGCATTTAATTAAAAATTGTATTTCGTGACTCTAGTTAAAACCAATCTCCAACCTCCAACTTTAAAATTCTAAGGAAGAAATGCATATATCATACTCACCAGCTGAGGTGTTGGAGGCAGTTTCTTCACCGCCTGACGTCATCTTCTGAAGGGTGTGAAATGCACGGGACGGTAATAGGATTGTCTGGTCGACGCAGTCCAGTGAAACGCATTTCTTCCTCCTCTCGCTTTGTAGGGGGTGGAGGAGGTACAGAATCTAAAAGCGAAAAGAGTAATTTATTAAAAAGATTTTAACTAATTTCAAAAAGCGCAGAATACAGTGAAATCTATGCTGGGACTATGTTTATACAGTTACGTACACCTTGCTTACAAAAAAAGGGGCACCTCTATATCTCCATTCTACTGGGCCGATCGTCGAAATTTAACTTGCGTTTCCCATGTCTTGAAAGCGCAACTTATGATATATATTAGATTTATCTATAGCATTGGTCTAACATAGATATTTTGACACAAAAATCGGACTTTTCCTGAAATAACATACTGATGTTTCTTCTTAATTTTGATTCAACGACTCAAATTATGCCTAGATATTAAATTTCGTAATTTTTGGTGAGAAATTTAAAAATTTATCTTGGCACATTATTTTCAGTTTGCGCCAAGAATAATTCACTTGGCAAAATTCCAAATTTATAACAACCTATTTTCCTTTCCCTTTTTTTCATTACAAACGAGCGGGAAAAAGGTCGTCGTTCATACTTTCACGTAATTTTAACAAAGGCGTAAACCACAATTGGTGTTATCTTCGCTTATACGATTACTAGAAAGCCGGCGGCCATACGAAATGACCGCTGTTCTAGACATTATAAATTGTAATTAAAATTTTTTGTGCAAAGGTGTCTGCTAATTCAAACTGAATTACCCAGGGCAGGCGGCGAGAACGCCCCTTTGCGTTCATTTGTAAACCATTTCAAAAACAGATGATTGCTAATGCAAGCAAATGTTTACGTTCCCCCTGACACCTGAATTTGCTTCAGCTGAAATTCAGTGAAAATACAAGTCGGAATAAATCGGGCAAAATTTTAAAAATCTGACGCGAAAGATATTTAGCATAGGAGTATCTACCTGATGAATGTACTACCACAACTCGTTAGTTGGTTTCGTCCCTTTAATTTATCAACGTTTGCAAGTTTCTAGTTATTTCATATATAAATATAGTTAAATGCATAATAAGCAAAATTGTATGAATTAAAAATATTTAAATTCTTAAATACCATGATAATTTATTAAAAACAATGATAGCTGCATGTACGGTATCAGGGTATATGGACTATTTGAATGCCGTGGCAACTTCACCCCATTGGCTAGTACAGTAAACATGGATAGTGAATACAGCACGTTTTTTGCTTTATATAAATCCCTATTTTTGGATATATAAATACATATATACACACACACACACACACACACATATATATATATATATATATACTCTTCTGTATTTTAAAATTAGTTCAGAGGTTCTGCAGCCAGCAGGCGTAAAGACTATTTGTTCACAACTTTTCAAAACTTGAGTTCCACCTTAAGTGCACCTCGCTTTTGGTCCATTTACATACTACGCAACAGGTAAGCTTGTTTATCAAAAATATCAGGTAGAAGTTCTTGTGTCGTCAAAAATGGAAAATACAGTAAAGAAAAATGAGCGAAGAACAATTAAAAATTTCTGCCGCTAATAGCTTTAATAAACCAAATGCCCAAGCGCAGAATGTAATAGCAGAATCAAAGTAAGTATTAAATTTTGAAAAATAATCTTAATATAGCAATTTTATAGTTAACCTTATATTTTGTTAATTTTCTTAGGTTTAATAATAAAAAATTTAGCTTGACATTAATTGCACTTGTAATTTATAGCAATTTTTTGACAGAAAATATTCTGATGAGTTTTTGCAAGAATTCTTTATTTTCTCAAATCAATTCTCAGTTGGCTTATTTTTCTTTCCACTACGTTTTCCCTTTGTATTGGTATCTCTTTTACTTCCTTGTACGAAGTAAAGGAAGTACCGTAATCACGAACAATTCCGGGTATCATATTTCAGCGAAAATATCCATTTTGACCCTATCGAATGCAATTTAACGATGTTTTTGCGTGACATCTGTATTTAAGGACAGAATAAACGACATTTTTTCTCCAAAAGGATTATGAAATAGATTTAAAATGGATTCAAAAAAGATTTTTTGTGACATCTGTACGTACGTACGTATGCATCTCGCATAACTGAAAAACGAGTATCCTCAGGCTGTTGAAATTTCGTATACAGAACTGCTGTAACATGTAGTTGTGCCCCTCCCTTTTTGATTGCAATCAACCGGGCCAAAGGAACTAATTTTTCATAAAGACCAAAAACTGAAATTCATAATTAATAAATTTCTTTTTAAGGAGCTTAATGGGCGAAAATTTTTATGCGCATGTTTATATTTTGTTTTCATAAATTGTTTAGTAATTATCCATGAATATGATATGTCTATTATGAAATATATAGTCAGTTACTCGACTCGATAAGCACGGTTTTTTTTTATTTTTATATATTGTAAACTGTAATTTTTTTGCTTTAAAAATGATTTGATTGTGTTACTCTTATCTTTCGGTGAAGTTTTTTATGTCTTTAGTTAATTTTCATGCAATAGTTGTAGAATTATCAACAATTTAAAAGTTGTTTAAGGGCAGCTAGTCCCCCCACCCTTTTTTAGTCCAAAGGGATTTGAATCCCGAAGGACTATTAGTTTCGTTTTGGCATTTTGCGTCGGACTCATAAATGTCGGTTCACTTTTCAAACTGTTGCCACAAAATGTTAGAGTCCTGCATTATATTTGAAGAAATTAAATAATGAAAAATCTGCATAAATGTATGTATATTTCTCGTATTGTGATAAAACAACGGTACATAGAGTCATCGAATTTTGAATAACGTAATCCTCCAACGAATATGAGCATGTGGAAGACCAAATTTGAAATTTGAAATTTGTTTTATGATCGATTTCCTATTTTTTAAAACTTTGACGAATTTTTGATTAACAAACTCAAGGATTTCAAAGCGAGCAATGGCAACGTTGTGCAGAAAAAACATTTTTATCTCCAGCGCGGGAGTCTCTGTATCGGAAATTCTAAAGATATGCTCGTTTTAAAACTATTTTGCGATATTGCTGTTGCACTGGATCTTAAGGTTTAAGTTTAAACCTTAAAGGTTTAAGTGCGAGGAACATGATATTTAATAAAGAAAGGTAACACACAAAATGTTAAAAAACGCCCCTTTGGACGTAATTTAAAATCTGAAACATTTCAGATTTTTTATTTATTTATTTTGCCGATTGAAACCAAAAGTAAACTTTCAGTTTTGTGAACCGAAAATTTGCCTTGTTGCCTGCTGGCCGAATGGCTTATTTTTGCGTAGAAACTCTAATTTTAATTGTAAAAATTGTATTTGAATTGTTTTAATTGTATTTGGTGTTTTATTTTTTTCTATATTTTTCAATTTTTAATAAATATATTTTGAGTTTTTAAGCATTTTACCTTACCGCGAAGGGAGAACTGAATTAATTAAATGAGAAATCTGTCTCTGATGAAATCCGAGGAAATAAGTTTAATTGAAATGCAGCAAATAATGCGTGTAATTTAATATTCCGTTAAAGAAAGTCATGTGGTGTTCTTATCAGATTTGGTTTTTCGTATAAATGTATTTAAAAAGTATAATAATCTTGTACAATAGAAATCTTGGTTATTTTTAAAATCTTGATATATTTTTATAATTACTTATGAGCACATAACATAAGTTTAATGTTAAAATTAGAATTGGAGAAATGCAGACAAAACTGAGAAAATTATAACTTAAAAATCGGTAAATTTTTAAATATGCTTTGTTTTTTATCCCAATGCGTATCATAAATCTATAGTATAATATAACTACTGAAAATTCTTTTATTCATCAGTTACTAAAACTAACACACACTGACCGCTAATATAAAATAAGCACATAAATATAAAACAACAAAAATCAATATATCAATATATGCCTACAAATATTAACAGAAGTGCCTAGACAAATTTTCAAATCGTCCATCATGAGTCCAAAGTTAATTTTTTCCTGAATGTATCAGTAAACATACTAAAAGTTTTCTTGTACATGTTTCGTTCGCGAACGATTCGAACAACAAATTAGAAATTTTGGTAAAATATTTTGTCTTTTTTAACGCAAAATCTCCCGTTACGGTTTTTTTAACATCAGCTTTTATTCAAAAAGAATTTTCAAAAGCTACTCCATTTTTTTTCCTTCGCCAGATTTCATTTTCATGAATTGGATTGTCCATTACAGTTTTCTCAGTCTAAATCGTACTTATGAGCAAATTAAATAATTAAATACTGTTTTTCTTTCCTTATATTTTTAATTTTTTAATCGTTCAGTTTTTCTTCATAATCAATCTGTATACTTTATGACCTCTTCTTTAGCCCAAAATGTTATTACTTCATTTTAACATTTTGGAGCAAAGGCATAATCTATTTATCCGACAATTATCTATTCATCTGAGAAGTTTGACCATCTTCAGTACATTTCCTTTTATCTAAACTTCATAAATGGAGAATCTGAATAACCCAGTTCAGTTTGCTTTTTACTCCAAGATTTCATTTACAAATAAGATATTGATCTATTTCAATTTTTTTCGTGGTTTAAAGAGCTTCCTAGTTATCGGCAGTCTTTTAAACGTATTGTGTTTATTTATTTCCATTTTCTTTAACCAACGCATTTCTGTTATTTAACACCTGACCATACATATTTGCAGTTACAATTAAAATGTAAAAGTAGTCTTTTCCTCAAAAGATTATCTTAAGAAAACAAATTTCTTGAAAATAACCACAGCATGCTTATTTCCTCTTTTTTTTATCAAGAGCTTAACATCTGATCAAAAATATTTGCAGTTATAATTAAAATGTAGAAGTAGTCTTTACCTCAAAAGATTATCTCAACAAAACAAATTTCTGGAAAATAAACACGGCATGTTTATTTCCGTTTTTTTTATCAAGAACATTTCTCATTCTTAACTTATATTTGCAGTTACAATTAGAATGTAGTTGTTATATATATTCTTCCCCTCGAACGTTTATCTCAACAAAACAAATTTCATCAAAATAAACACAGCATGATTATTACCCACCACTCAAGGCCTCTTGATGGGTACTTCAGGCACGCCGTAAAATAAATTTTCACTA